CAGCTGCTGGGACAGATTACTAGGTTTCCTTTCTTCTTCATAAAGCCTTGCGATAAATCCCTAGGTCCCTTTCCCTTGAAAGCTGAACAAGGCTAACATACCAAGCTTAGACATGAAAAGATAAAGCTTCACATGAAAAACAGATAACAAGAGGGTACAAGTTGCTAGTACAAATGTACATTCTAAAAGGTTAGATTAAATCATGGAGGATAAAGTCATACCTGATTTACTAAATGAAATTAGAACATGTTCGGTGTGTCACTATCCTTTGAAGTTGACAGCAAGGACAATAACTGCAGCCTTCTATGTACCCTTGAGTTTCTCTGCCAATGACAATATTGGGCTTAATGAACCACGGTTGTGATACGATTTGACAATTTTGGGTCTTATGTACTTAAGTACTCAATCATCACTTCTCAAAACTAAAACCTCTTGAAGTGTGAAAGAGATTTAGGACAAATAAATGAGCTATTGTAATATATTCTGTCCACATTATGCTTTAGAGTTTGTAGACAATTTCAAATACATTATCTCATTTGATTCTCACAATAGCTCTGCAAGGCAGTCAGGTAGGTTAGGAAATGGATGTTCAGGGAGACTAAAAGTTTGGCTTGAGGTCATATAGCTATGAAGCAGAAGTGAATTCAAACTCAGGTCCTGTGACTCTCAGTCCCATGCTACTTTTACTGAATAATGAGTGGAAAATGTTGGTACCTAACATCCTCAGAGGTAGAACAGGCTGAATTTTAGTTTTAAGAAGGATTCAAGTGAAAAAAATATGTTGCACAAAAGATGGCACTCCCCACGCCCATGGCATACTTAGCCAATCAGCCACAGAATTCTTTACTGCTTGTCCTGGATTTAGCTTCAAAATCCTCTCAACACAGTGCTCTGGGAGCTAATACTAAAAGATCACAGCAGACACATGACCTTAAACTTATTTTCATGGGACTTCCCTGGTGGTCCAGTGGTTAGGACGTTGTGCTTCCAACGCCGGGGTCTTGGATTCGATCCCCGGTTGGGGAACTAAGATCCTGCATGCCGTGTGGCATGGCCAAAGTGGGGGGGGAGCGGAATCAGGTAATTCCTGCATGGTCTACTAGGCAACGCCCAGCACTGCATTAACGCAAGGACCCAGTAAGTTATGTTGTTCATTAAAAAAATAAACTTATTTTCATAAAAAGATGATTCATAGAGCTTATTCAAGGAAACTGGAGGGATCTGAGGTGGAGACTGTTGCTAATGCTTACCAATACCCAACACCCACACCCGCCTTTTCTCCTGGGCACATCTTCCTGACTCCTTTGCAGTTAGATGGGGCCAGATGACCATCTAGCCATCTAGTCATCAACTAACGATCTAGTTAGTTCTGCCCAATGTACCATGAGTAGAAGTGGGTGATCCTTTTCTTTCCCTTATCTTCTGAGTGATTAAGGAGACACTGAAGGTTTCAGGGACTATTGCGTTACAAGATGGATGGAAGTTGAATCTCTAAGTGGCTGAATGGAGTAGGGTCCTCGACACACACACCAACCTTCCCTAAACTTTGAACTACAATTTGAGAAATAAGGTTGTGCTGAGGCTTTGCTCAGCAGTTCATCTACACACACCAATAAAGGTTGACTTCAATGACTATGCCCTTCCTGGAATCATCTTTTCGTGTCATTCTTAGAGGCGATACTGGATTGGGGGACCTCTTCACACATTTCTCCCATTCAAGTTTTAAAGACCTCATGAGTGCACATGATAGTGGATTTGTTTTTCTCTTTCTGCTCCTTCCTATTTGGAAGAAATCCCTAGTTGGGTGACCTTGGTGGGAACACAGGAGTCTAAGGGTCAGCTACTGTCTTGTTCCATCCCCTGCAAATTAGAGCCTGGGCCCTTGATAGAGATTCTTCCAACTGAATGTCGATATCTGAGACTTTAAATCTTGAGCAAATGAGGCAAAGCAGCAAGGAAAATTGAGAAACCAATCTCTGAATCCAGCTTGGCTGAGGTCCTACGCTTGCATTGCCTTGGTTCTTCCCATCTTCCAAGCTTAATTCCCCAGGTAAAACAGATTCCATGAGGTACTTAAACCTCTCCAATAAACTCTCTTTCTGCTTCTGTTAGCTAGAGTCCATTTCTACATGGACTCTTGGGCCATGTGTTCATGTGTGAGTGTGTATACACATATGCACACAACACAGAATATTCTAGCACCAACAGCAAGTGTTCTTTGCCAGGGCAATCCTTCCAAAACATAAATTGCTTGTAACCTTCTCCTGTTTCAAAAGATTCAATGGTTATCTCTTTCAGGACAAAACCCTCCCTTTTGAGCATGACATCCCAGAAGCTTTTTACCTTGCTTGTTTCCCCTCTCATCACCTCCCCTCTTCTATAGGCTGGACCCTTGGCTTACCATTTCTCCACACCGTCGTACCCACTGTGCACTTGGCCTCTTGTGCCTTTCCCTTTCTTGGCAAGTTCCTGCCTACCCTTCATGCTTTAGCTCAAGGGTGACCTCCACGAAACACAGTCTGGCAGTATTTCCTCTAACACCACGTGTATGTGTTTTATTGCCCAAATTACACTTTATTGCAATTGTTCACAAGTTTATCCTTCTTATTAGGTTACAAACTTCTTCAGGACAGTGTCTGTCTAGTCATCTGTGTATCAAAGATCTAGGATACTTCTTGGCACACCACAGATGCTCAATAGCTATCTGTTGACTGAATGAACGAATGAACATGACCTGATGTCTGTGAGGCTCTGATGATCAGCAGGAGAATCCTTCTAAAACAACTGCAATAAAGACTGTGCAGTATTCCAGCCCTGAGTTACCCAAAGGTGGTTTAGAAAACAAAGAGACACCAGCTACCTTGAAATAATTTTTAATGTTTTAAAATTTAACTAGTGCACACAATACATGTTTTAGCAGAAGAAGAATGAAAATGTGTGTATGGTGTTTAATAAAATTGACATTACAAAACAAGACCATGTTAAGAAAATTCTCAAAAGTAGAAGTAAACATTTCAGTAAAAACCAAGTAAACAACACGCTAAGGGATAGGATTTTAAAATCCTAATAAATGTAGTTGCCTAAATCCAGACTTCAGACATGGAGATTTACTTTGTCACTTAAAAAAAAAAAAGGCAGAATGCCCTTCATTTTAAATGCATTAAAAAAACAATGTTTGCACATTGTTTTCCTGCTGGCAACTCAGTATAATCAAGTATATAAGAATACCAGACGGATTCCAATCTGATAATAAAAAAGTGTATCACCTGGTCTTCTGGTTAAATATACAGTTCACCCCAGAAAGCAACAAAAAGTCATGCTACGCATTACATTTCTATGTCACACCCGCCCTGCTGTCCAGGCCCCAAAGTGAACACAGTGGAAAACGACTTCAACGTAAGAGAAAATGAAAACAAAAATCGACAGCACCTTCCGGTTTCTAAGCTTAGGAAACAGGCAGAATGGAAATACAGGAAGAGGGAAACAATGGGTGAGACCAATGATGTGCTCTTCAGTAAAATTCCATTTATACACAGCTGCTCAAATGGACAGAATGGCTGATTTATGTATTGGTCACGTGAGAAAAAAAAACTGACTTTCAACATTTCCTCGAATTCTGGCAGATCCCTCCAAAATGTAAAGACTGGAGATAATTTACTCACACAATCACTTCCTAGAACTTTATCAAATAATTAGGTAGCACCATAATGGTGAAGGTCGTGGTGAGGAAGAGAGGAAGAGAGGAGCATTATTTTTTACTTCCTACCCACTCTTCCGCATCAAATTACTAAGGTTCAATGAGTCCTCAGAAAACCAAACAATCAAAATGCATTTCATGCAAATAAAGCACTTTCCAGGCTGAGTCCGTCCAAAAGGTAGTGCTTCACTTAACACTTCGGAAGAAGTATGTAATTCCAGGACAGTATGCAGATTTCGCTAGAATCCTGACAACCAGTGCCAGCTTGGCAAAGTTTAATTTAATGCATAAGAATGGCAAATGATGATGATACTTAGAAGAGCATCTTGGTCACAGCAGGTAAGAATTTAATCAGCGCAGAAGGCATTTGCTAGCACATTATATGGTTAAAAATTCCAAAGTTCAACAGTTTCTTTTTCAGACATGAATTTCACTGAGAATGGGGATCTCGTTTTATCAATTTTTCTTCTTACAAGTAAAACAATTCAAACCACTCCTGCCTTATGTAAAAATATTAAAATCTTATATAAACCTTATCAGTGGCCTGAGAAATGCAGGGACGGTCACGAAGAGATGTATGCAAAAACTGTTTCCCTCAGAGAGCAGGGTAAGTGAGAAGAATCCACCCTCTAGAATAAAATTTTAGAAGGGGTTTGTTTCTATTTTCACCAAATGAACAAGGGAGGTTTTATCTAAAATTTGTATGTAGCTTTAAAATGTATTCAATACATTGAAATTCTAAACAAATACTGACAATTGGTATCACAAAGTGTGATTTGGTATATTTGTAGAATTTGAGGACTTATACTACGTAAGTTTCTATTACACATTAATAAAATTTAATTGTACATTTAAAATACAATTATCCCTTACTTCACATCATTTATTCAGAACATCAATTCCCTTGGTTATGTTCACAACTTTCAACCCTTTAAGAAGCTGTACTCAAGTTAAAAAAAGCATTAGATTTGATGTGAAATACAACTCCTTACGGGTTGAATGAATAAGCCAGATATATATGCTTAAGAAAACATTTACAAGTATTATATAGGTAATATAATTAATTACACATTGCTTGCTGTTCATTAAAAACATCTCTTTTGGACTTGTAGATAGTGCACAAACAGGGTCATTACGACGTGCTTGTCTTTGCAATGCTAATATTACTGGATTATACAGATTCGGGCTAACGCTGTGCCACAGACAGGACTGAGAACGTGCCGCATCTGAAATGCCATTGATGGAAACAGACTGGGTACCTAAGTGCTGGGCTTCCAATCTCTTATCCAATGTCAGTTCCTCTTTAGTTAGCAGATGATGAAGCTTCCGCCTTCCCCGTGGCTTCCTCACTGAAGAGCAGCTTTCGAAGTATATTTGCATAAAATGGTCCATACACTTGTTTGTTGAGATTCACAATGCTTGCATATTGCGAGCCTAGCACCTCTAGCTCCTGCTGA